CTTTTTTCTATTCCACGAATCGACTGATCGCTTCATTTGATATATGACCCACATAGCAAGAGCACTGCAATTTTAATTATAACAGCGTAAAATATTTCCGAACGTATTACAGATATTGCATAATGTAACACGTATTAAACATGACGTTTATTGCCTCACTATAATTATGTCGATTACGAGAACGTTAAACACGCTTAAATTACCCGTTTGAAAATTATGTGATTCACTCCTCCGTGTCGTAAATATCGCTAATTACCTATACTAGTTACTAATAATGCAAAATATAAATGGACTATTAAGAAACGACTCAGCGTAAATTCCGACGATGCTCGCTCTTTACGACTGTTTGCTGTTGTTGCGATATGGTTTTACCATATCACGCGAATGAAAATCGATAAGTGAAATTCCTTCTAATGCACTTCGCCCACAACATCACGATATCGTATCGACACATAAAGCGAGCTATTATAATGCGAATTCCCAAGGCAAGCGCGTTTTCCGAGAAAATGTTTCCGCATGAGCATAACTCACGTGGAGAAACATGAGCCCGCGAATTGAAACAAACGACACGTCATAGAAAGAATAGTTCGATTTATAATCATGCTGGGAGCGATCGCCCCATCAATCTTCTTCCCATTTCCAATAGTGTCGAATTAATTTCGCGCAATGTATGAGCCGCTCCACGAAAACTTTTCATTTAATTCGATTTGACCATTTCGGCTTCAGAACATTAGAATGTATTTCTATTTTATTTTTTCATGATTTGTAATTTTCTTTTCCTTTATAGTTTCCTTCAAGATTATTCATGACATTATGATTCAATATAATTATTGTATTATTTTCAAAAAGATATTCTATTACATTTTTCATATTTTATATTACTTTATACAAAATATAATATAAAATTATTTCTGATAAATACTCAGTTTGATGAATCATTAGCTTAATTAATTTTTGTCTCTCTCTCTCTCTCTCTCTCTCTCGCTCTTTTAGTTATATAAAAATTAATATAAGTGCTGACAACAAAACTTGTACACTAAAGCTCATCCGCAGCGCCAAATAGGAAGTGATATTAAGATCTTGAATATCATCGAGGCATTTATAAGCATTACCTAATTAATTAATTAGTACTAATGTCGACTTGAGCCTGGTATTTCAGTGCGGTTTACCAGTATAAGCTCCTGCAGTTTAAATGGAGTATAGCTGTGCGCCTTATCGCCCGCATGTTCGCATAATCTAATTAAATTGCAGCAGAGAAGAGAGGTAGGTACTGATGGTCCGCGCACGGATTATCCGTACACTTTCTTTGGAATGCTTTGCAACGAAAAATAAATTCGAGTGCGCCGTAGACGATTTGTATTCGATGCGAATGAAAACGTTTCCGGCATCGTTACGCATCGATGCCGGTCGAAAAATGGCGTGCAATATCACAGTACCGTACACACGGAACTAAATGAAATTGCCAGGTTCGCTTTTGGCAAACATATGCTGCCGAAGATACTGCCACACCGGCATGAAATGCTCACGAGTATTACTTCCTTCCGCAAAGTATTTCAACGAGACATGCGCTCCGGCAGGATGCATTCGCGTGCAGCATCCAAGCGAGACTACACAAACTACGCGCGTGTTCTCTCATGATCTGCACGATACAGAGAACAGACTGAACAGAGATGAAGTCAGAAAGAGAGAGAAGTACTATTTATTATATCCCGAAGTAAAATCTCTTTTATACATGCAGTGATGTTCGCGATTTTTCTACATATATAAAAACATATTGCAAGTTGCAAAATGACGATATTTAACTTTATATTAAAAATAAATAGCAAGCTAAAACGGGACGAGATCAAAGACGAGAGTAAAAAAAAAACATGAAAACATAAATAATGCAATTCGCAAAACAATTTACGAAACAAAATCTGCTGGCGTGTGAAGATAAAGTAACGATAAATTTTTGGGTACGAATGTATTGCGGTTTTTTTTTTTTAATTCTTTTGCAGAGATATGTATGAAGTTTGCGTTTGAACGACCAGAATAAATCAAATTTTTTAATTGGGGGAAGGAGAAGGGGTGACAGAGAGTGTGGTGTATCAGCGGGATGTTGGAGATTCAGGTATATGTCGTGACATACGGGCGCATTTATTGCCCCCGAACGCAGCAACGTTATTACTTCGAAAAGTGGGCCAATGTTGCTCGGATTAAAATCGAGCTTTCAGAAATTAAGTTTCACGATCGACCGACGGGAGCCTTTGCACTTTGATAAAGGCTCGCCGCACAAGCACATTACTTCTTCATCATAACGCTGACGTATTATGTCGTCGCAAGGTGCGTGTACTTTGTAAAGCTACCGGAACGAGAGCTTAGTTACTACCTTACCTTACAGTTTTATAGACCAGTTCCTGTATTATCTCTTGACCCTGGCACTTTGGCTGCAACAATGCCGTCGTAAACCACAAAGGCTAATAAACTAAATTTATTCTGCGCGCGGATAAATTGAGATGATGGCTAAAAGAAGGATGCACAAGCAAAGGCTTAGCTTTGAGAAAAATGTTTTGAGAAAAATTCAAAGTTTCTAATTTATCCTTTTTATGCAAAATGAGAAGGCCAACTTATACTCTCCATTAGCGGCTAATGCTTGTAATTACTTCCAAGATTTATTTAAACAAGAAGAAATTCCAGGAAAATAAAGATAGATAACTTGAAAATCTTGAGCCTTATATAATTACTGATGTGTCAACTTCTGGCCAGTGTTTTTAGGAGAAGAATTAATGGGAGTTGAAAAAATGCACTGTTCTTATCCTCTCTTTGTGTATATGTATGTATGTGTGTGTGTGTGTGGGTACACATAACGGCTTAATTATATTAAGATGGTAATTTGCTAGAAAAAGGGAAGGAAGTAATTAAACTGTTCGGTTTGAAGAATAGCAATTTGTACCATAATGCATCATCATTTTAAGATACATGCTACAAGAGTGAGGCTCCGTAACGTTATTCTTGTGCATCTCCCCCGTGTAAGATATTAACTGTCACATGCTTACGCACCAGAGATTTCATATTAAGAGAAAGTTTCTCGATTATCGTGATAATGTAACTTTCAAGCTAAACTATTAAATTTACAAAGTTTACACAATACATCAAGTAACGTTATATACATGATACTTTTCAAAATTTTCCATTTTATTATTAAAACAACAATTGCCTAACTCTAAATAATATTATTCATAACTCCTAAATATGTTCTATATACAGTATGTGTAATTTATTTCGAATACTTAAGTATAACTGTGTTTCCGCAAATACAGTTATATTCTTAAGGGTATTTAAATTTGCACATCAAGAAATTAATCTGCAATAAATATTCCTTAATATTATTGCATTTCTGAATAAATAATGGATTAAATATACGTCAAGGAAAATAATATCACCGTATTAAATTAAAGAGTTTATCCAGCATAATAATTAGTTAATAAAGGATTTTACGCGCAGCCATAAATATCAAAGAGTAATTAGACTCATACTCATCCATATGCATGATTTCACCGTCGTCATATTGTGTGCAACTTTGTATTATCCATTGTTCCCGTTAGACCGCAGAAAAGTTGAAATGTTTTACATCGAAATGGACTACCGGCGTATAACTTTGACGCGTCGCATATCTGATTGAAAATTCCAAAGTTGTGAAATTAGCGAGTTTGTTCATTAACCGTCACAATTTGCGTCTCGCAGTTGGCAAAGTTGCCAATGTCCATCGAAAATGTTCGCCTCGCATATCCATTGGTCCCTACTGTCATCATACATTTTGTACTAAAAACACAGAGTTTATTATGGTGGAAAATAAACTCATCTCGTTCCAATTCAATTTCAATCTCTGTTTGGAAGCGTAATTAATTATAGATTAGTATTCGTAATTGATTCAATCTGATTTGCATTTCGAAAACCCCAATTCGACAAATTATTGTTTCAAGAATTGATCGTTATTTAGTACTCATTTTAAATTCTTCTTTATCGCATTTATAACCGCATCAATCAGGACCGTTGATTTTTTTGTTAAGTATCGACCAGAATAGTCAAATGTCGGAATAATTTTCGGACCATCGACAGTTTCTACAATCGACTGCTTCTCTTTAAAAGCACGAGAAGCGCGGAAAAGTTTGTTCCGCGCTCCCACCTAATCTTCTCGAGAGAAATCGTCCAGTTTCTTTTATCGCGCTATAAATCTCTCGCTACCTCCCCCGCGAAATGGTGAAAAATTACCCTCATTCTTATTCACAAGCACTACTTTGCAGACTAATGATTCCGTAACCGGTTAAGCGGATCAAAAATGTGAAATAAACTTATGTACCGCGGTGAGCGTAATAAAATGTAAATTCTTACGACTGTTTGCAATCAGTATTCGAAACGTGTATTCACTATCTCACTTATTTACGAAGTTAGCCCTGTCTTTTAGATAAAAGTTTCGTAATATTAATATCATTTTATTCCGAGTTGAACAATACACTTACAAATATTCTTTTATTAATTAAATAATTTAACTGAATAAAATTTAAACTTCACAAGAAATATATTAATATTAAAAAATATAATAAATATTTTGCAATAAAATTATCATAAAAATATTTTAAAAAAGATACTCTATATTTTTACAAAGATATTTTGTAAAGAACAAAATTTAGTTTGGAAAGAAAAAAGATTTCACGATATATCTGGCTTTGGAGGTTTACAGTGAAAGCGAGATCAGATTTTGAAAGTTATTTTAACCAAGATTGCAATCAAATCCTTACAATCTCCATTGACTCAAGATACTTGAAGTTGAGAATATAAAACGCTTATCGCGTATGAGCTAAAATGAACAAAGTTAAGTGAGAAGAAACCTTAAATTGCATTAAAATCTAAGCTTTTATGATTCAAACTTCACCTTTTAGACGATGACCCAAATCTGCTATATGATATAAACTCTGATTTAATAGATTAATTCTAACGTATCATTTTTTTTTATATTTCAGATTCTATTGGGACCTCTGCATGCTCCTCCTACTGGTAGCTAATCTGATAATTCTGCCAGTCGCCATTAGTTTTTTCAATGACGACCTAAGCACTAGATGGATAGCCTTCAACTGCCTTTCCGACACAATATTCCTTGTAGACATCGTCGTCAACTTCAGGACGGGTGAGTGTCATTCGATCGATCAATTTGCTTGCTATTAGTTCTCAGTTATAATAAATTCTCGTCGCTTAATTGGAATCCATGATAAAAGGCTTCAAATTCGCCGAATATATGCCGTTGAGAAATTGCAGCTCTAATCTCTCATACCAATAGAATTTGTGTGCAAGAACAGCTGCGTTGTCGCAACAATGGCTCCGTATCTCTAACAATATTAGTAATGTCTTTTGAAACTTTCATGTAATACCATTAGGTGTTGCTTACATCATACTGTCTCCGCGAACATGCAAAATTCTATTTGACATTGTGTTTCGTATCATTTCCTCGCATCGGCGTAAATTTGCATAGGTACAGTCTGCCGACAATCGAGACGTTTATACACGTTAGAATATTTTGCAGAAATTCTTTTTTATTACTATACACATGATAATATTTAACAAGACTCAATATAAAAAAATATTTAAAAATTTATAGCTCAGGTAAAGAATATTCAAAGAAATATTAATCATTTTTCCAACCTTTATCAATTTCTTCTTTCTAAAATTATTACTAAATCCTACCTTATGTGCATTTAGAAAATCTGCAAATTTTAAAGATCGCAAAATTACCGGGCCGATGCGACAATAAGTAATTATTTCTTCATTAAGGACAAGACCAGAATTCTCCTTGAGAATTTTTTTCATTTTTCATAACTAAGATTTTAAAAGGGGTTTACGACTTCGAATTCTTTTTTTCGCCCGATTCGTCCTTGCTATATCTCCGGGTATAAGATACCGGCGAAAACAGATCTCGCAATGCGAGATGGATCAACTACTTGCGCTCTTGCTGGCCCCGACAATGCACAATGACAGTATTGTTACGCGGAAGAGAACACTCCTAACTCCTTGACATTTCGTTATTACCCGGAGATTAATTTGAAACGTGTTTGAGTCGGTTCCGTAAACGTGGAATTGGGTCACGAACCGCGACCGATGAAAATCATTATGTTATATTGCATATCGCTTTGGGTCGATCAAAATTAAAGTCGTGATAATTTAGAGTTTCCGTGCCGCATTATCTCGCTTTCCGTTCAAATATTAGCGCACGGGGACGGTAATATTCTTAATAATTACTTTTTCCCCTTTTGCCGCTAACGGATTCAATGGTTTTTTTTTCTCGTTCGCAATTTCAATTGTTAAATTACGCATTATATACACATAATGGGTGCATCAGATGCGCGAGAACGGCGACGTGACAAACTGTCGAATCGATGGCAAGTCGCCAGAGCGTGAGATAATACCATTAGCGTTTTTCCGGCGGCTTGAGCTTCGCAAGCTTTTGGACAATCATTGACGTGGAAAACACCGAAGTAAAATTCTTTCGTTGCAGGTATAATGCAGCAGGATAATGCCGAACAGGTGATACTGGATCCGAAGTTAATCGCGAAACACTACCTCAGGACTTGGTTCTTTCTCGACCTCATCTCCTCCATACCACTAGACTACATTTTCCTCATATTTAATCAAGTAAGTATATTCTGCACAGCAACCTTATGCGCGTTTCTTGTTAAGCCGTAAGTTATTATCTCGCCTACTCCGCGAAGTCATTAAAACACCTTTCTAGTTTCTCTAACACCGAATAAACAATGCATTTTTATATCCATACATTTTTCACGATATAATTATTGTAAACTTTTATTTCTCCTTTATAACATACACAATATTGTTATGTAAATATAAAATTAATATCTATTCATGAAACGATTTTCTAAATAATTAAACGATTCTAAATACTCGTTTACTAATTGAGAGGGAGTAAGTCAAACATCACAGTAAAAAAAGACATTCGCAAGTTTCAGGACTTCAGCGAGTCCTTCCAGATCCTGCATGCTGGACGTGCTCTCAGGATTCTCAGGCTTGCAAAACTATTGTCACTCGTTAGGTTACTACGCTTATCAAGACTGGTGCGGTATGTCTCGCAATGGGAAGAGGTCTATGTGAGTGTTCCGCTACTTACTATATATAGCACTGTTCTCGTACGATACGTGTAGTTCGTGTATACTTTAGATATAAAAACAAAAAGAGAAAAGGAGAAGCGTTTGTGACCTTTAACGGATTCAGGAAGCTGACGAACGATCTTCCTCCTACGAAACTACTGCTTTTCCTGTAGACAATGAGGCTTAACCGGAGTTAATTAATGTCGATTGTCAGTTTTTTGAATCTGTCAATTGCAGAAATCATCTTCCGCATTTTACGCGAGATATTAAATAATTGTGTCTACACCTGATAGATATGGTCGCTGTAGTGAATCGGAGGAGGTAAAGGGAACAAGTCAGCCCACTTTCGTCCCCTTACCCGTAAATATTTCGTACTTAATCGCAGGTGACTCACCGAGTTACTATAGCGAAGTTCTCACGTCAGTGGTGGATTCTGTCCGACAGGCAATCTTTTTTACTAAGTTTTCTCCGAATTTGCACTCATTAACGAGAGTATATTCGTTCTCGCTACGTACGAGGAGAACTCCCTTTGTCATAAGAAGTTCATCAACAAAGTTCACGCCGATCGAACACGCGTGTACAAATCTTTTCTAGGTATATGCAGCGAAAGTAGGATACGCTCCTTGACAAAATTACCTTTTCGTCGTTGTCGCAAAAGTCTCAGTCCACCACTGCGGGGAAGCTTTTCAAACTGAGCTCTCAGATGATTAGATTATGTTTCGCTTTCCGTTGCTGAACATCTAGTAAGTGTCCCCACGGCTATAATCCCGTGATACTCCGAAAACTTCCACTCTACAAGAATGTCTCCAATCCCTCCGTCTGTCTTTCTCTCTCGCGATAATAATAACAGTCGTAAATTAGAATCAGCTGTTCTCCCTTGCTCGATCATCTTACCGCACCGAGAGGAGCGTAAACAAATAATGGTCATAACAATAGGTAATACCTCTGACAAACAATTCGCGGACACAAGCGGAGAGGTAGCGTGACGAAAAAGCAAATAGAGGAAAAAGGATATACACGTGCACGCGATTACGTGTCCCGCAGAATCATCGCTAATACACCGTGAAACCCGATACAAAGAGAATCTCGTAACACAATACGACAACATTTTATTATATTTTTCATTGTCGTTCCGATGCACCGATAATTGTTGTTGTTCGCTATTCGTATCTTATTCGTTACTTTTTGCTCTCGTTTTAACGCACATGTCGATTTTGTGAACGTGACGTAATGGTACGACGATTCGTCGACGGGTAAGTAAGCTCTTTCAAGCAAGTGTACATACCACTCGATAATCGAAGCGACGCGTAAACGTATTGCCCACCCTTTCGTTCGATCGGAGAGTCATTTCGAAAGATAAAAGAAAGAACAGAATCAGTAAAAAGGTAAAAAAATAACAAAGATTGAACTTATTTCTGTAAATATCTCCCATAAATTCGTGTCTCGCGTCTTTATTTCACTTCACTTTCAATATTTCTCGCTATTCCTTCACATAAATGTTCAAAAATTCAAACAAAATACTGCGACGTGGCTGTTGCATTTATAAAATAGAAAAAGATTGTGAAACATTTATATTATTACATTAATAAGAAAATGAGTCAAGTAATGATAATATCCATAATTTCGTGTACATAATGTATATATATCTCGCCGGGTCAATTATACGGCGAATGAACTGCAAGTGCATTAATTGTTTGCGGTGGGTTAATTGGGTTGACAAATTTTTGCTACCTTTCGGTGCTTCCGCACGCGTCGGCGATTGTGTTTACGTGGGATATAACGTTTTGTATTACGTTACTTGTGCTCGCGCTGTTAGCGTAAAATCGTGGCACAGCGAAGAGACCAACGAATCAATCAGGCTTTTCGTCCAATCAAGAGAGCAGTCTGTCATTCGCTGAAAATCTTGTTACGCTTGCCTTGAAACGTTACTATTGCCTCCCTCTGCTTTTTCCTCTCTCTGTTCTGTTCTGTTATACAAACTAGATATAGACGAGGGAAAAAAAAAAGGAAAAACGTATGCACACGAGGGAAAGCTGCGTTCTAAGTGCAATAGATTCATCACACGCTCGAGTATCGATATTGTTTGGACAAATTAACTACCGTTTATCAAATAGCAGCGACGAAATGCGCGAGACGAACGCACCGATGCGGCTGATGATATTGAGAATCGCTATCCCGTATTCTCTTTCTTTGTCGAATTCACGATAAATCGTTTTCGCTAAATTGGGGGTAAAAATGTTTTCTCAATTAACGCAAAATCAAATCAATTCATGTACCGTCTTCGAGACAAACTTCGGTGAAAACATCGATGGTCTTTGAAAGTCTGCCAACGACAACAAGAGTAATAATTTTGTGATGCTACACGGAGAGAATTTTCTCTTAAAATTTACCCTGAAATCATGGTAATTGTGCCATGGGACAACATGTACCACCAAGAATTTTATGCGAGCTATTCTGATTAATATCTACCATAATAAAAAGTATTAATATCTATTGCATTAAAATATAAAATATGTTTGATTAATTTTACTAAAATATATCTAGAAAATTTCAATAATTTTTCAAAATTTACCAATCTGCTTAGTAATTTTTATCACGTTGTTTGTAAAATGTCTTTTTTATATTTTAAAAATTCCTTGGTTGCCAAGTTGTCCCAAGTTTGTAGTGAATTTAAGGGTAAAATATAACAAAAAATTCTCTCCGTGTACTATTTACAGGCGCTAATAGAAGGATAATTGAACATACAGATCCATTTAAGACGAAACTTAGCCAAATAGTTTTCATTTATCTTCTTTTCTTCGTTGTTACCGTTGTCGTTGTCACATTTTTTTCGAAGCGCGAAGAATAAACTTTCAACGTGTACGTATTATATATCGTTGCAAAAAAAGTGCAAGTGCGCTGGTACAGTTAATTTATAAATCATTTCGCATGATCCAATCGAAATTGATTATTATCTCTTCGTGTTCGAAATTGTTTTAATCTAAATTAATGATTAATTATTGGCTAATCCGTCGTTTTTAAAATATAACTTTGCCATATAGAAAAGTGCAAACTTGAGATAAAAATTCTGTAAGCGCAAAATACGCGCAAATTGCTTTCTTACATCTCATTTATTTAAAAAATTAATATACTAATATACGAAAAAAAAGCGCTTACAATTTCTCATTTCAAGTTCTCACATATATTATCACGACACAATCGACATTGATATATAACAAAACGGGCGATTTCTTTCATTTTCTTTTACACACATACACTTATACAATTATTATGTTTATCCCTTCATTGTTTGGTGATTTCAATGCGAGCACAGAGCCGATAGTTTAACCCATTAGTCTGTAACAGCAAAAAATCTCTATCGAATAGATATCGACACGAACAATATCCCGAAAACGAAGACACTAAGAGCGCGTGATTATCACATCGCTCTACACATAACATTGTATCCCTCGAGAACTCTAACTCGTCATCTCATCGAAAAATATTCTCGTCCTATCGCATACTTCAATTATTTACTTTCTTAAGTAATCAAATGCCGTGAGAATATAACGATCCTCCTATCTTTCCCGAATATCATACGATTTTCCATATCGTCACTGTCTATACAACCTCACCTGTACACCTAATGACACACACACTGACACACACCAAAAAATCTTGCATTAATTCTCCGACATACATACACACACGAGTACAAAGAAAACAATTATATATACAAATCGACTACTAGGCGTACTGCGAGAACACGTTTCCGAATGGGTTTGCAGATCCCCCTTTATCAACAGCCGGAGAGGCACTACGAGCGTCGGGCGACCGACGCCCCGTACCAACCAGACCGAACCAGCAAGGTGTGCCTGCCTAGTTACCCTGAAACCAAGGCCAATTGCCCTTACTTGATTCAAGCGTTCGTTAACACAAAACTCAATGTTTTTCTACGTATAAATATATCTATATACGCTAGATCATTATTATTACTCACTACTGTCGTTTCTTTCGTTGTTACTCATTTGATTATACGATTATTCTGATTACCGTTGCCGTTTTCGTTTGTGGTCATCTATCTCTCGTTTTTCATTTGAGTTTCATAGAGAACGTGCATAGTCTTGTCGTGTAATTTACAGTCTCCGGTACGAGAAGTTATTTTTCTTTTTTACACATATAACACACCCGACATACTTAGACCCAGTTTGTGAATTGTAGCAGAGCCGATCAAGAGCTTTAACGTTGTCGGGAAGTTCCATGTAAGACCGTCGATTGAGCAGAGAAACGACTATGCTTACTGTTTGATCAAATTAAAAGCATATTACAGACTTACGGAGTAATTAAACTCCTTCCTTGTCGCGCGATTAATATCTGAACACTACAAACTCGAACAGGCAAAGCGGAAGAATCTTATACGTATTAATTGATCTCTCGTAAAAGTAATATAACAGAATTACTAAAACAGTCAGTTCCGGTAAAAATTAAGCGAAAAGTTATAGTATAAAGCTAAATATTTAATGCGGAACTAAAGTAGCTGTCACGGAAGTCAACTAACTCTCACTGCGTAAAACATTTCAATAAGCTCTTGATCAGTCTTGTCCTTAGTCCCGTAGTCCTGGCGATGCGACGTGTGACATGGATCACAGATTAGAAGATGCGATATTAGCTGAGAAGAATTCAGTATGTATTGATCGATGGAGAATGACAATGCTTGCAGTATTATACCTTAGTGACGATGTTTTCTATAACTACATTGTTGAAATCCATGTTTCACCGACTAGCTGGTTCCTCGCCAAAGTTCTTGAGAACGGTTTTTTGGTATGAGATGCTACCTTGTTTTTGTCGGGTTTTGTTGGAAAGTTCCGTTCTGCTAGGTAACTAACATGAGTTTGGTTACGAATAGTCATTGTGAACTGGTCGTGTCGAATATTCGATCGCGCGATCGCAGGAACGGCCCTATACCGGCGTTCGTGCTTCGTGCCGATCGCCGTTGAAACACATTCATCTCGAATTTCTCGGCTCTCGATTATCACCGGCCCCATAAGCCGCATAACTTTATTGGCCTGATACGACATAGGTGCGCATGTACATTAACGTATGGAGTCAATAGCGATTATCGACGTTCTTTCAGTGACGGTCTGCATAATTTAGATACGTGTGCATGTAACTGTATACCGATTGTATATATATATATATTTTTTTTTTTTAACGGATGCACCATTTTTTGACAATGGTAGCGCATGAGGTCACGGTGACGATGAAGAGTCGAGAATTCGTTTGTCGTGGATCTTATCGTCGCGATTATGAAACAGGAGATGACTAAAAAAAAAAAAAAGATTCTTGACAATACCAGAGAAAGTTTGACAACGAGAGTAAACCTGATGGAGAATTTCTGCAAGGTATTCGACACGAACCGCTCTACAGACGAGAAAGTTGATTGGTCTAACCGTAGGTCTGCCTGTGAGTGTTAGGTGTTAACTAACCCTATATCTGTCCAAAATTCTTGGCGATGTGCCCGTGTTCAGTGTGTGTTCCCAGTTTTATTTATCCTCCGACGATTTACTCTCCCCTCTCCCTCCTCGTCCCTTCCCACCGTGATAAACTTCTAGCGAGCACCCCAACCCCACCGATTATTTCGTCTTCCCTTCCCCCTTCATTCGCGTTCCGTTCTGATTGCCTGTTGTTTCGTGTTGTCTAGATATGCCTGATTTAACGAGGAGGAAGCGATTCCCATTTCGTTTCTTTTTATTTCATTTTGACATTTTACTTCCGCCAGGACGGAGAGTACAATTACGCAGACGCCGTCGGTACTTTCCTCTGCCCACGTATGTATCCGTTTATCATCGTATTTTTGTTCGTTTGCTCTCTCTTTTTCTCTCTCTCTCTCTTTCTCTCAGGAGCACGTTTATATTATATTATAATATTACCGACGATATTTTGCCAGCGTGACATTCTTTTTTTTCGCCGAAGATCGTTCAATATCCGCCCTGGCCCTCCCATGACAAGAACGAGAGAAATACGCGATCTTTTAACCATCTCGCCACCCGATATACGATAGCGGATATGACGTTTCCTCTCTTTCGCGTGCGTCTTTCGCGTCTCCGCTCTTGTCTTGAGAATTGCTGCTCCTCTATACGCGATCGCACGGCGAATCGCCAATGACGCAGTCTCGTCTCATCTCGATTGTGCAATGAGAGGAAAATTTTCCACGAGAGAGATGCTCCTCTTACGTGTTGATTCCTTGAAAGTGGAGCGTAACATTTTCAGGAACACATATGTGTGCGTACATACATATGTACGTACGTCATAATGTGCTGTCACTCATGCGTGCATTTCATTTTTCGCGAAGAGAGACAGGAAATAAGGAGAGAACAGTCGATTAATCGCAGATCTGAAAGAGACGATTCTTGTTTTCTCTTCTTTCACTGCATAATGTTGTTCACCGAATGAAATTTGTCACGCAATTGAATTTAACAGATTTAAATGAATATGTCATTAATGTCAATCTAAGGGAACTTAAAGTTATGACTGACCTTGGTATACTAAAACTTGTCATCCATTTTAAAATAATAAGACATTTAGATATAAGGAGAAAGGGGCGTGAAAGAGTTTTATATTGATATATTGTTTTAAGTTGCCAATTTAATTTTATAAGTTTCCGATTTTTAGTTTCTCTTACTTTTTGTTAAAAATTAAAGTTTTTTTACGCTACAATATGAAAAAATAAATAGATAATGCATAAAAATAGAAAATCATGTTCAAATAAATAAAAGAAGATAAAAAACAATGAATAAAATATAATAAGTCGATCGCAAATTTTCTGCTTCGTTTATTTAACATTAACTTTTCGTTATATGATTAGCGTTGCGTTAATTCTGTTCTCCTTTAAACTACGATATTCCGTATATTAAATGTTAAAATGTGGGTTATCGATTATGTCAAATATTTTAGCGAGACAAACAGCCCCTTCATATACATGCGTAGATCTCCGATCTACAAATAAATCAACAACGCGCTCAAAAGTTCCACCCTTACGCTTTTATTAATTAATTAATTAATTTAAAAAAAAAGAGAAATAGCAAAACGCGCAGTGCTCTCTTTGTAACGAGTGCAAAAGCTTTCTGCCCATGGCACGTACACCCAGTGTTTTCCCTTTACATCGTAATTAAATCAGATAACAAACACGAGTGCCTTTGTGAGCACGCACATTAGAGTTAACAGCCGCACAGTAGCAAACCGCCGCGATAATGGTCGGGGCTGGTTGCATTCAGCGTGGCAAATTAAAACGTACTCGCGTGTGTACGCACATTAAGAGACGATAAATCATAACCGTCATGCAGAAACGCGCGATTGTACGTCGCGTCCGCGTGATTTTCGCGGCGCACACATGGTTAGCGCGGTGCAAATCGCGCGTTTCTTGTCGCGCACAATTACAGAAGGGTATATGCATGAGATGTAAAAACGCGACAAAGGAGTGTCGTGAGATCGCGATTGATGAACATATTCTTGTCCTGTGTTGTCTGTGTTGTCTTATAATCTTATCGATGTGTGACAAGTGCAATTATTCTTTCACCTCGAACGGTGATCTTTTAACGGAAAACTCTGATGATAATTCCCAAGTTTCTTCTGCCTTTTCGTGACTTTTGCATGGAATTTTTTCAGAAAGATGGGAGCGTTCTCCTTTGTAAATGTTTATCTCGTCACAGACTGTTTCTTTCAGCAGAGCAGCGATGCGCGCATATTGACCCGGAAAGAGCAGAATTATTATATATATTTCACAGTTATCACATTTGCAGATTTTTCTCTCTCTTTCTCCTTCTCTCTCTTTCTTCTCTCTCTCTCTCTCTCTCTCTCTCTCTTTCTCTCTCTCTTTCATCAATATGAAGTTCATAAGTCGAAGCTAAAGCAATGTTTATTATATATCAGCAACACTTAAAATGATTTTTGTTCCTTCAAGCGTATATATTAATGTGCACTTTTCTTCATCTTTTTTAGTCTTTCTTCGATTAACGTCCTTTCAATTCGATTCGATTAAATTACTAAAACGTTTGTTCAAGACGAAATGAGCAGCCTCTCCCATGTGGAAAAGTATCAAATTCTCTTCGACGTATATTTCAATTAAATTTTCGTTATTTTAAATCGAGGCAACGCCGTCGAATTTGCATGAAAGATAATATCGACAGTGTCGCGAAGTCAATTACGTTCGCGTGTTGAATTATTTCAATGGACCTGCAGACACGCCCGGGATCAAGTTACATGGCTTTGCAAGTTAATATCGCGCGGTTTTTTTTTTTACTCAAACTGTAAATCCACCACGATACTACATATATACAGATCCGCTAATTAACTCATCGAGCTTCATACGAGCTTGAAAAGGAACTGCGGCTTCACGCTTGGCGCGCGACTGCTAATTCGATAGCTTTGATACTAACGAATGGCTTGTTGATTATCTAATTCACGGATCATCGGACTGTCACTTTTCGTTATCGTGCCGTGCCCTAGCCGATTATATTTTCGCGTGCACACGCTCGCTCACATCACCAAAAATCGTTCTTTTACTTGCGTTCTCCCACTCACACTTTACCGATCTCTCATCGACCATGCGATCGATCGATCGTTTTGGTACCCACGACTCTCGCCGGCGAAGCGAGAATTCGCACCGACACCGATATACCTGATGTAATTACTTACTCTGTTTATGTGCTTGTGTATGTGCCAGTATACTAGCGTTCAGGAGGGAGGATGGAAAATGAGAGGTACAAACTAAATATATATATCGTTTTTCTCTACTTTTTTTTTCTTAATTTATTTCATCGTTAAATGGATAAACTAACGTGATCCACACGTGGTCCGGCCCGATTTCAATGGGTGTCACCGTTAAGAATGTACAGTGACATCAGTTACTACTTTTGCGCATCTGCTGGCGGACGTCGCGATCCAAATATACTTCGCATATCATAGCGAAAGGACGAAACTTTAGGGTTGGGGATTGCCTTTCAGCATTCGTTGTGTAACGTGGCCACTGTACCGCACACACGGAAATTTCTGATCCCACGAGAGATGAGAAAAAGAACATCGATCCTGCAACCGCCCGACAATCTCCTATACTACTTCCGTCTTACTTTTCTCGCTATTCTATCACCATACCGTCTTGCAAACTGTCGTATATATATATATAACCGCCTACTGTACTAACTATACCGACGTTTCTCTCCCCGTGTCCTCCTCACTTGTTACTTTCACTCCGTTTCTTTCTATCTCTGTTTCCTTTCCTCTATTCTTTCTCACACTCTTTCTGACACTATCTCTACTTCCTCTCTGTGAAATTTCTATTAACCTCTGCAGAATTTCTATTAACCTCTTCTTACTACGTCTGGCTATGTCCCGCTTTCTTTTGTTTCTAGATATTGCAGAACCTACAAAAAAAACGCACTGAGCGGAGGGGGCGCCTAAGTTCTGATATGACTAAAAAGAAGTCCGGTTTCAGCAAAAGCGAACTTATTTTTAAGGTAACCCGCCCTGGCAAACGCGCGAGCTCACGTCCACGCGATTCGCACCACGAATCAGCCTCGGCGATTTCTCATCCGGTTTCCCGCGAGACTCGATAGAAACAAGTCAACTCTCTCGATCTTCTCCTTACCGTCAACGTTTAAATTAACATAATTATTGGACGAGATCTCCGACGGAAAATGATTACCATTCACGTTATCACGGGCGTTTTAATAAAACTATAATTTATATAAAAAATGGCTTCCGAGTGTCGCAAGCTCAACTAGATATATTCGCGAAAGATTTCAAAAATTTGTAAATCCCACAATTTTCGTCTCAAAACCGAATTAGTATCTTCGACCAGTGAATCAACTAAATCAATCTCTTTACCGAGGGTAACGAAGAGCAATAATTTGTAGCATTGCGCGAGAATCGGATGAACAGATTGCTGATTAAACCGATCTGCCGACTGCCGTTCTGTCGGTGTCTCGCGAGGACCGGGAGCGGGGCTGACGAGGTTAATTGGACGGAGGAGCTGTACGCTGATTGGCTCGTTGGTTTATTACAAACATTCAGCTTTTACTTTTTCCGCCGCATTATACATTACATATATATACCCGCAGCAATAGGCTATGCTTCTATACATTCACCATCGGCACCCGCCTAGCGATGAGAAAGTACATGTACATAACTATGTGTGTGATATATGACAATCTAGAGGCCCACGAATATAGATATAACAAAGAGAAACGCCTGGCTCGGTTAATTACGAGCCGCCCTTGCGCAAGCACGGCATCACCCCGCGAATATGTAGAGGCCCCGATTTGCCGATGATCGCCGACCGACAGCGCGATATTCGACGTGAAAGTGAACAAACGGGGATCGGTTGTCAAAAGTCCGGCGTGACGCGTCCGACTCAAAACAATCGTATATTCGTGTTAAACCCTTCCTCTCTCCGTCTCTCTCTCTCTATATATATATACATATATTCTCTCTCTATATATATATATACATATATATTGTATTTTTCTCTCTCTGTCTTCTCACTCTAACTTCTTCTCGTTTACTATTTGACTGTTTGTTGTATCATCTACGTCTCCTCTATCCTTCCGTATATTGTACCCCACCTTCCTCCCGCCGATCCGCGATCCTTCCGCGTCCCGTGACCCGATGGACCCGCGACCGCAAACCGCCTGTTTCCACGCACTATCTTGTGAAACTGCTTTTGATCGCTAGACGGTGTGCACGATCCTGTGAAAACGAGCGCACGTGATTGGGCGTCCCTTCTCTGTCGCTTTATTGCAAAAATCGCACACTGTGTATCAACTATGTACCCGAGGTGTATCCGCTACCTTAGATATAAAAGTGCAGGAGGGAAATGGATACACACAGACCACACGCGCGAGCGCTAATGGAATAACAAATTAGGATGCAATGCGTATGAAAGTAGAGAGCTCGCTTATCCTCCCTTACCGCTGCTCTGCAAACGATTTTCACCCTGTAACCACCCTCGCCAGCCGCGCGTCTTACCCACCGCTCTTGTCCGCTCTGTCGCTGCTGTTTTTCCCAGCTCTGTCGCTGCTTCTCGGCCGAGAAAGTGCACCTCTGTCTGTGTAATACCGCTGGCTATCTGTGTGCTTGCAAATTCAGAAAAAAGTAAAAGAGAAACGAAGACACGATAGAAGAGCGAAGACACTTCACTTTCTCGCTTCGTGTTGCTTGGCTTGCGCGAGGCTTAACAACGCGACGTTTGATTTCGCAGCTGCGTTTTGTTCGTCGTCATAACGTCCTCATATAACGTTCATATGCTCATAATCACTCGAATTCATCTCGGCCGAAGTGCGAGGAACTCTCACTCTCCCCACGACAAACATCTCTCTTCCGTGAACCCCGTGTATACCTCGTCTCGGTTGTTCTCTGTTGTGCCTTTAGTTTGCAGTACTCACTTTTGTTCCGATGTCGTTTTAGAGCGTTCGTTTGTTGCCACTTACAATCGCCATCCGTTAATTAGTGCGCTGACTCATTGATCGTTGATTGTTCATTCATCATATCGTGGAAACATAACAGAATCAAGCTTTCATCTTTATCATGGACCTGTGACTGTCTCGTAGAAGAGAAGGTTGTTGTTGAGTTACAGTGAATCGTTTACCTTGTGTTTCCTTCTTTCTTCTTTTCCTCTTTCTTTGTTTTTTTTTTTTTTATTATTCTGTTGATTTACGAGGCCACGCCACGCACATACATATACGTCGCATCGCTCATTACGGCATCGACGATATACGTATGCGTGTGCGCATGTACCGTGTATTTCACGTGTGTACACGATCTTTTACTTGTAGACCAGGTAATGTATTGAGCTATATGTGGTTTAGCCCGTAAGTCTCCCATGTTCTTACTTGTTTCCCGTAGGCGCAGAAACAGTTACCATTGATCATCATCCATGGAGTATCATGACACCCGATAGATACTAGCCAGTATCCCTAATATTTTACCGCATTTAGATAACCAGAGATCCGCGCTTCATCGAAATCCTACGGCGATTGGGCATCGATGCATCTCTCGTCGCTGCATCTTTTACATTGTTGCAATCTTAACGACCATGTCTACGATAACTGTAAATGGCGACTCTTTTACGACCAGGTTTTCGGTGTGATCACACAAGTGATAAAGCTATGCAAGCCAGCTTCATACAATTAATTGAATTTTATTTATAAATATCATCTTATTGGTATAAAAAAAATTTCTGATAAGATTTGAAATAGCTTAATTGTTAAAATAGCGTTTATTATAAATGACGTGACTTGAATTATTGTTTGCTTATAAACTTCGTGAACATTTATTCCTACAATTTTATCGCAATAAAATAAAGAGAGAGATATACGGAATTTTTCCAAAACGCATGGAACTAAGTTATCTTCAACAAAATGATACATCTGTATGAGCTTATTGTGCGCCATTATGTCATTACTGTCGGTACTGCAATGGCTCTGTCACTTCTGCGGTTTAAGTGCAAGAGTAATTACCTAACTGTTATACAGGGGACAGGTCCCACTGCCGTACGATTTCAAGATCATTATATACCGCGATTGCCCAAGACTCGACAAGGATCTTGAACGCGAGGCAAGTTCGCGAAAGTATCAAACTTCCGTGAGTTGTAAGAGCACGAAAGTGTATCGAGGATGATAGATACGATGGGCTATAAAAAGAGAAGGCTCCAAGGTTTGAACTGTACTTGCGGGTATTTGGGCAAGCGTGTTTAAGTTCGGAAACTTCAGTTCGTCGCCGCATAATAACGGAGCCGGATTCGGGAGTATTTTCTTCGCACGTGCCCTGTCGACGGCGCCGTATTGGAAATTCATTTGCGCCGCCGACTGGGCACATCCGAACGGAATCTCTCGAACGCGGAGACCGAACACGGTGCATGACACTCATTATTGCAGCGCGCGTGTCGCGTTTCGTTGCGAGTGCCGCACGCATACGAGTGCGGAAGCAGATGTATATGTCATCGCCACATATGTACATACGTTATGTACATACTCATGAACATGAGTCGCACTTCATGATACCTTCAACGATCCTTAGATAACTCTATCCTTATCTCTCGACTAACAGGAGGACGCTGAGACTAGCCGACTTCAACCCTTCGAGTAATTTATCAATCGCTCTTTGCCGATCCTAATTGGTTATTCGTTATAAAATCAAATTAATCTGCCATATATAATTTCTAATTATGCCATGCGTAAAAATTTTTTATAAAAATCTATAATTACATATATAAAAATAAATTATAATATTTGAGTTTAGAATTTTGACTCAGTGTCAGTCATTTGTTACGTTAGCTAATGACTTTATTAAAAATAGCTGCGAGTCGCTTCAGTCGCTTGTTGAGATTATGGCTGCGTTCCGATATTCACTGCCAGTACTGAAAATCTACAGTTTACGTGACGTAAAATATAGATTTTCAGTACCTACTGACAATGAATCGAAACACAGTTTATGTCTGTTAATTTTTCACTTCAATGCGCAATATTACCTGGAAAAGAGGAAGTAATCGTGCGTATTAATTATTGAGAAGATGCAACTCTCTGCACGAGGGATAATCATCGAAATAAGACATGGATCGGAATCTCGAAGGGTTAACTCGACAAATTAGCCATGTCGATACGGTCTCCGCGTGTTCTCCAGCTTTTTATTTTAGTACGGACGGATTCCCATATCGTACTTATTGCGCACGATAAAGCCGAACAATTTGCAATTCACGTTTGGAACCGAACGGACTACATCGACGTCATTGGATGAGCGTCGATTTTCTTTTTTTTCTCTCCTTTTCACGTACATACGTCACATCATGAACATTTGGCGCATAAGCGGTTTGAGAATCTTGGCCCAACCAGTTGCAAATGATTGATATTTTTTTGTTAGAGCATTCGTAGAGTAACCAGTTATTTATCAACGTTTTAGGTTACATTGAATTGTTCTTTTGTGTGCCACGTGATGCGTATTTTCTAATGTAGCATGCTTTTCTTAACGGACGAAAGAAAAAGTCCCGAGAGTATGAGAACGGTGATGACAATTTAGGAAAAGTGTGACACACTCACTCGAACTAAATATATCCGCGCTAAGATCTGAATGCGTGAGGATTGATTCTTGCTTAATATTTGTCAATGATCGAATCTCGATTTGGAACAAGTTTTTCCCCCAAAATTTACTATATTATAAACGCAGGCATGACTTAAAGGGTTAAAAACAAACTTCGTTCTTCATAGAATTTGCACTAAAATGTTGGTTAAAAAATTATCGATAGACGATCGGATCTTAGTGACGGAGTCACGTAGTTTATTCAGTATTCCTAAATCTGAGCAACAAAAACAGTAATGGAACAGTTGTATTCGACGAATTATATATCTACCGCGTTTTTGTGCAACACTCGCTTACTTGCTGTACACTACGCAATCGGAGCTTTGGATAAACAAGAGAAGATTTAACCAAAACGTGTGAGAAACATCCCGACGCGCCCAATCCGGGTTGAGAGTAAAGCTCTAACGTTGTTGTTGGCAGTTCCTGAATATGGCGTCGGTGTTCATGAGGATTTTTAACCTGATCTGTATGATGCTCCTAATTGGCCATTGGAGTGGCTGCCTGCAATTCCTGGTCCCCATGCTTCAAGGATTTCCCAGTAATTCATGGGTGGCCATTAACGAGTTACAGGTGAGTAATCAATGATATTATTTGAGTACATTGTACACCCCACGATTCTAATAAACATTATAAATTAATATATATAATTTCAGAAATAATCCGTTTAATCGATTCCTCTAAAGCTCCCCATTCGCTCAACATACTTTTATTACCTTCTTACGCACACGATTAATTCCTCTTCTTTTAAAACATACTTACTATAATTACTTAATATATAATTATTTAAAATTGTTTATAAAAAAGTGTGTCTCTTTTCAATGTGTACAAAAAAAAGTAATAATAAATTCTACACGACGACAAAAGTCAAAGATCGCGGAAGTTATTTGGCGATTTGGCAAGTCGCGAATTTTCAAGGAGCAAGATCGAGCCAAGCTCCATGAAAACGCTCTAACACTTTGTGTCGAAATTGTCGATCGATTTGGAAAATACATTTCCGTGTTACGACATGACGCCTACTTGCAGGACTCGTTTTGGCTGGAACAATACTCGTGGGCTCTCTTCAAAGCCATGTCGCACATGCTGTGTATCGGGTACGGTAGGTTTCCGCCACAGTCCTTGACCGACATGTGGCTCACCATGCTCAGCATGATCAGCGGTGCGACGTGTTACGCTCTTTTCCTCGGACACGCGACGAATCTCATTCAATCTCTCGATTCCTCGAGAAGACAATACCGCGAGAAGGTAGATTACACGTCATATATATAACAATAAAACGAACGACCGGAGTTCGCCGAAATTTAATTCCCGTTCGGTTTGTCCGTAGGTGAAACAAGTAGAGGAATACATGGCCTATCGAAAACTACCGAGAGAAATGAGACAGAGGATCACGGAGTATTTCGAACACCGGTACCAAGGAAAGTTCTTCGACGAGGAGCTGATCCTTGGAGAGCTCTCGGAAAAATTGAGAGAAGTACGATAGGATCCGTATGAAATATTTCAATTGATCAAGATTAAAAATGATTTATGTACAATATTTCTGAAAAAGCGTAACAGCGGGATTGAAAATCCAAGAGATCTCTCAATCTTTTTCATTCTAATTGACGATATTAATATTCAACATAATACCGATCTCTTTAGAACCCGTCGAGAAAATTTACGATATTTAGATATTTTTATAGATTAAAGAAAATGCAGGTGTCTACAAAGATTACAATTTATTTCAGGATGTGATAAACTACAACTGCAGATCGCTGGTAGCGTCCGTGCCCTTCTTCGCTAACGCCGATTCGAATTTCGTCTCGGATGTCGTGACGAAACTCAGATACGAAGTCTTCCAGCCAGGTATCGGTTGCCATAGACGCGTTTTTTTTATCCGCGCTACATAAAACGTCTCATTTACTTAGCGTCACGACACGAGAAGGTATTTTCTCGCGCGTCGCTCGAGAACCTTGTGTGATATTCGAACGTGTACGTATTCGCAGGTGATATCATCATTAAGGAGGGTACGATCGGCTCGAAAATGTACTTCATACAAGAAGGCATAGTCGATATCGTGATGGCGAACGGCGAAGTCGCGACCTCGTTATCGGACGGGTCTTACTTCGGCGAAATCTGTCTGCTGACGAACGCGAGGAGGGTGGCGTCGGTCCGAGCGGAGACCTACTGCAATCTCTTCAGCCTCTCGGTGGACCATTTCAACGCCGTGCTGGACCAGTATCCCCTGATGCGCAGAACGATGGAGAGCGTTGCCGCGGAGAGGTATAAGCTTTGGTTAGGTTTGTTCTATCGAGTTGGTGTGCTAATAGATGTCAATCATCACTCCCACTCCCATCTACTTTATTTGAGCATTTTGTACTGTCCGGCAAAACGGAGATCAGTCATTTGCTGCCTGTGGAAATCATGTCGCTCTCGCCTCAACATACCGATTCTCGTATGTGTTTGTTAGAACTCAAACGCTTGTTTTACACACACGTACACACACATACGTCAATGAAATTTTGTTAGAGGAAAAATGAAAGAATAAAAGCGATATATTGTCGTCTATTGACTTTCTTGTGCTCTTGAGCGAGACAGTTGGAGAGTTGGGAAGAATTTGAGACAAATTTATGATGAAAGCGCACTAACTTACGATATTTATAATGAGTTGAGAGGGTTAAAATCCGTTCGAAATATCTTTCATGCAAAGATACGAACGGAATTCGTTTTATATTCATATGCATGAGAAGGAAAATATCCGATGTAGTATAGTGCATACTTCATGAAATCGGATATTACCCGATTGAATAAATAACAATTGCAGTTTAACTTCGTGACAAAAGTTTTACACTCTCGACACATTCACTATACATAATAATGTTCTGTTTATAATTTGGCATAACATATTTTATAAATTATTTGAAGTACAATTTTTGTCACACGTCCGCGTAGAACGATTCTTATGTAAAGTTGATTGTATAAAGAATTATATCGTAAACTTGTAAATTATTTTCTTAATAATACAAGATTTTAGTAAAAAATATTTACGATGAAAAAAAAATATCTATTTGAACGAAAATCGAGATTCGCTATTTTATTATTTATTTTACGTATTCGCATATCATTCGAAATACGAAATTGACCAGTGTGGCAAAAATAACTAATTTTTTTCTATCAGTTTATTTCACTCGATTACCTTTAGCAGTGCAAGTAGTATCGAAACAAATAATAATCACTGTTGAGTACAGATGATAAGCGGCGGGTGTTATAAAGCGCCACGAAACGGACGAATCAATGTGCTGCTAAGTGGTTTAGAATTTGATGTGAATAGTAGTCGGTTATGTCCCGTGCGACGTTCCCTACGCTTAATCATCACATCTCTTTGTAGGCTAAACAAGATCGGGAAGAATCCTAATCTGGTGGCTCATCGCGAGGAGGATCTTGGCAGCGAATCAAAAACGATAAACGCCGTAGTAAATGCGCTGGCGGAGCAGGCCGCCCATGCTAGCGCCAGTGAGGAATCAGTAAGTATACAAACGAATTTGTAAAATCTGCTACGATTAAGCTACGAATACACGCATTTTTATGGCGCTTCTTTTGTCAGCCAAAAAAAGAAATACTTTCTTATATTTTTTTAATCTTATCGATTGTATAACTTGTCCCTAATCTGAACGGCTGGGCGAGACTAGTCCTGTGGTGTTCCGATATCTTTACAAAAATAAACGGACGCGCGTGAGTCATCTTGTAAAATTTATCATTTCAGGTACATAGTATGGAGCTCAGAACGCTGCCGGGTTGCCTCTTGCCCAGACCAAAGTCTGAGAACAATTTCGCGAGCCAAGAACTTACGAGGGAAGGACGGAGAATGTTTCACAAGAGCGACACTTTCCACAAGGATTCGTATCAATGACGACACTCGTTTTACTAGCATATGCAGAGATACTAACGGCTCCATGTTGGAAGAACGATGGAACTTTTCTTATCGATAGGACAGCTGGTGGTTTTGTGCTCGGTGCTAGGGCGATCCTATAGCAACGGTCTATACATAGATATCGGCCATGGCAGTAGTCCTTTAGCAATCGATTTATAGCGCCTTCTTATATTAATCTGACGGCATTTTCGTCCAGGACCGCAAAACCGCCACAATCGAGGTCCTATGCTCCAACTGTGATACAGATCCGCGAAAAATTAAATATTTAAATACTATTAATGACATATAAAAATCTGCATAAAACATGTATCGCAAAATAATTCCGTGATGAAAAGAAAAGGTTTGAAGAATAAAGGAAAAACTTTTACATTTTAGGCCCCTTTATCTTTCAAACTTGGTTCGACTTCTTTTATTTAGAAAATAATGACGAAACACTCCATACAATCGCGACGTTTTAATCTTTCACGAGCGCAAGGTAAAGAAAAAAAAGAAACATCTGTATCACGGCTGGAGAACATGGAGCTGCATTTTACGCCGTGTCTCTTCATTGAGAATAATCGCCGCGCCGCATCAAGTGCAATATTAAAGATGGATGGACGCAGCAAAGAATGAAGATCTCAAAAACGACGAAGAGCAGGCCTAGAAGTTTATAGAGAATATGTAGTCCCACATCGTGGGGAAAAAAATTAGGTATAATCCTAAGTAACAGTGTAAACAATGCGTAATTTTCTGTGATTTTGTAAGTTGACGTTTCGCACCTTAGGAAAAAAGAAAAAAACAGCATAATCTACGTGAGAAATTAGAATGCTCTTTTTTTTAAGGCAACAACTAACATAGAGAGATCGTATGTCCTAAGACCAGATTATTCCGATTAAGTTGACGCGATTTATCTTTAGCTTTGTACTGCATTAGAGCCGCGTAAATAAGTGAAACGAATAATGTATAATACTCCGTGCGGGGAAAGAAATAGAAGAACGAGGAAAAGAAAAGGTTCACGTAGGATGAGCTAGAAATATTTTACCGATGAAGGCTCTTTTTCTGATTTCAGACGTGAAATAAATTTGCGTTTCGTAACCTCGCTTTTTTTTATAGAACCTCCCTTATTTCGCTACGTTTTAATTCATTTCAACAGTATTAACGGCACTAAAGCCGAGTGAAGATTACATGTTGCGATTCAATGTCAGATACATTCGATAGACCGTCCTGGTACAGAAATATGATCGGTAAGAGGGAAATTACGGTCGCGCATTTGAGAATCCGCGGACGAATCCAGAAAAAGAGAGAGAGAGAGAGAATTTGAGATACGATTATACGAATTAACCGGTTCTACAAATGCTACCGAGGGCCTGAAGGCTGTGTTTACTTGTTGAGAGTCCTTCGGGCCACTGTGGTTATATGTCAATGAATGAATATTAAGCGTAACATGAGCAAAGTATCTTTTTATGAGATGAAAACAAGATAAAACGCGATGTACTATAAAAGAAGCTATAAATACTATGTAATAAATTATTATTATTGTTACGGTTATTACTTACAATGATTACTACACCACTACCGCATAATTAGGCAACTAAATAAATTACCAAAAAAAAAGGTACAGATATACATATGTATGAAGTATTATGCATAGTGGTTAAATATCGTGTTGCAAGATAACCCTATAATGTTCAGCTCTACGTGCGAAATGGTTTGACACCGACTAAACCGATACTTACAAGCAGTTTATACATCACAATCCCCGCGGAGCTTGATCTGTTGTATTCCGTTTAGACAACGTTTTATAACTACCAATATCTTCGAGGCCAACTGAACCATACCGATCGATCTCGCTTTGCGTATTTTATAGACGCTAATCGAAATCAAACAAAGTATTTTATTTCAAATACCTCCTAGCAGAAGAGGATTCGACGTAAAGAAGTTTTCGAAAGATAATTATAGTACTAATTTAGTTCACGACTATAAATCCTAACGTGCTCCTTAGTTCTTAATCCCGAAGAGCGCAAGCTGTAGTAGTATACTTCACAACATAATGTGCTCCTGAATTTCTATTAGATTATAACAAAGCAAATATATTTTTATCAAATTTATTTTAAAAAAATACTTTTTTTCGGCAATTTACATATAAAATTAATAAAGTCAACAAATTTGTTTCGAATAGAATATGTTAGTATCTGTATTGGGCTCTTCAGGATTAAAGAAACATCCTTTCGACGTTAGTAAGCACGCGATCGAATGCAGCCATTCGCTTTTATTTTCTCTCAGATTCGAGATTTGCGGTGCTCCCTTCCGCGTGAAAAGTAAATCGGTCATCCTCTATTAAAAATAACGCCCGAATGTTATTTTTACTTGTATGATGACGAGACTCCATTAACGGGCGCACGATCGAAAGGAGTGAGCCGATCGTTTTTTCTAGTTGACGCGTATACACGTTATCGCGCGAATACATGTACATATAATCTTCACGTAAGAGTCTAGACGCGCGTTTCATACATATGCATATGTAAACATGAACACTTACACACGCGTGCGAGAGGGAGAGAGAGAACGAGAGAGAAAATGAAAAAGAAAAAAGTACCTATTTTTCATGTAAGAGAGACATAGTTTTTTGTCATTATTTACATCTTCAACACACATCTCATCCTAAAAATATGTATATATATATATATATATATATATATATATAAATACTATATAATAGCCACGAGAGAGTGTAAGGAGAGAGAATGCGTACGAGAGGTCAAAACATTCCAATGGTAGAGTAGTCGTAGACCACATGATCGACGTTTTTATAGTTTAATCTGTACGAACGGTCTAGGATTAATCTGCCGGTTCGGGCCTAAGAGGTACGCTATATAAATAATTATAATAAAAAAAAATAAATATATATATATATATATATATATATACATATACATATACATATACATAAAACATTGTTACTGTGCTCCGAGACGAGTGCGAGGGAAAGAACGAAGTGATTGTATACAAAAGAAACAAAGGAAGAAGCTGTTCTCTTACTACCACTGCTAAACTGATAGACACTATTTAGCCACTGTCTACTTATGTCGATAAAAACGAAAAAAAGAAAAAGAAACTGCGGCAAGGAAGTGCTGTGTTAGTACTCAACTCACATACACATACAAGATATTACGTGTACATAATACCGTACGTAATACGTACAATGCGCGTATATGGAGATACGCATCTCTATAGCGCACTACAAAAAAAACAGATAGGGGAGAACAACTCTTTAGGATTAGAGAGATCGTGTGACTATTTGAGACGTGTGAACCTTACTCCGTAAACGCTAACAGACAAGAGTGAGACACTTATTAAATAAAAACAAAAAAAAAGAGGTGAATAGTTTTTGTATTGAGAGGTCAGGTCGCGCGTGAACAGCGGAATATAATATTGGCTCAGGGGGGAAAGGGGAGAGAGGGGGATAGATCCGGAAATCGGAAATGGACGCACATAGTGTCCGGCAGTGAATCGACAGTAAGAAGCCCGGGATACAAAAAAAAATAGAGAAAGAGATATATATATATATAGAGAGAAACGCAGGTCTACATTCGTTGCAAGGAATTAACTCTGAATAGCGTGCACCGGATTGCGAGAGATACAATTGTCGTCCGAGGCTGATTAAAGTGCGTCAATTTAGCTGCGATCTACATAGAGCATGCAGAACGGGACGCTGCGAGGAAAAGGAAGAGATCGTAAACGGCTGTTTCAAATTTCACATATCAATCGTTCTGTTGAAAGACGTCGCGAAAGTATACACGCTGGATGCGAGAATTGTTTTTACAGCGCGCTCGGTAAAAACGCTTTGACTGGCATAGCGTATCGTGCTCATTTATTATTTTTCTTTTTTAGAATCTCCGATCTTTTGCAATTCACAAAGCAGACTTAAGGCTTGGACAAAATTTCCACGTATTTACATCTTTCGAGTATCCATCGGTAATCTCGCTCGCGCTAAATAAACACGACAGAACGACCGTCTAAAATTATCTTCTCTTCGAAGTAGGTTTACTATTTCCGTTTCCGGTTTCAAGGATCGAAAACTGTAAGAACGATCGACAAAGAAACATGCGACTGTCCAAAGCTAAATGAAACGCTATTAGATGATCCGCTGTTAAGCGTTTCTCAACAGTTCTTGCACGGTGACACGGTACTCTAGGAACGATTACGATTTCTGATAAAAACGATTTCTGATAAAAAATTTCATTCTTACACACTATTAAATATATCTTCAATATTATTGAATAAAATTATTGCAATTGAATAACGTTACTTTGGCGACTTTGATAAATATGAACGTATCATTTTTTTTTATCCGCATTTTCCGTTTTTCTAGAATTGTTTCGAAAATCAAATGTGATTGGAACAACGAATTATGCACACATCAGAGCTTGCGCGTGCGGTAATTCTTGTACAGTATTAAACAGAAGTGTGTAATCACGTAGATCTAAGAGTTGCTCGAATGTAATGGTGCTATTACAAATCACAATTTTTCTTTTTTTGTAAAAAAGCCATCAATAGCCGCATACCGAACTTCGCGATCGGAAGAGCAGCAGATGATCCTTCGCCAAACGTCGCGTTAAACGACACTGTCATCGAATTTATATTATGTCCGTTTCGATAATATATATCTACTGCGTAATCTCATATTCAAAATTATATTTCAAAATTTTCTCGATTTTCGTGCTTCTTTCTAAATCTCTCCAAATATCGTGACACCGTGTGAGTAGCCTAGAGAAACCTGCGCAGTACGCCTTGTAAAAAAAAATAAAATGAAGAAAACATTACCCTAGCGTCAATTTTCTACGAAAGAGTTTTCTACAGGGTTCACACCATGAGCGGGAATCCGACGTCGTGCTTATGGTATGAATATGTATGTACGCTGTTGCGGCGCTGGTATGAATCTACCGACGTTTTTTCTATTACACGTTATTGCGTTTGTAATTACGATCGTTTTTTCGAGC